ATGTGTGCGGGTATCTTTTTTATAGAGTGATTTGAGTTCTTCAGGGTATATTCCCAGGAGGGGGATTGCAGGGTCATATGGGAAGTCAATATTTAGAGCTTTTAGGAATCGCCATACTGTTTTCCACAGAGGTTGCACTAGTTTGCACTCCCACCAACAGGAGTTATCTTTTCAAATCACAAATGCAGCCTCCTCCTCTGCCTAAACCCTTTCATGTCCTCTTCTGATGGTTTATAAAACATCTAAATGTGTTCCATTAGCTTTTTAAAATTGTTATTAAAATGCAATTCACACATCCTACAATTCACCCATTAATCTGTAAATTATCTTTTATTCTTAGAATGGTTTAACCAGCAATACAACTTTAGAGGGTTTTTCTCACCTCTTTTGGCCATCACTCCCCGATCTTCTCACTACCACATCCCATTCCCCTCCCAGCCCTAGGCAACCATTACTGTACTTCTTGTGACTATAGATTCCCCTATTCTGGAAATTTCAAGTAAATAAAATCATTCAACATTTGTCCTTTGCTTTGTCCTATACTATTTTCACTTAACATAATATTTTCAAGGTTCGTCCATCTTGAAGCATGTGTAAATACTTTATTCTTTTTAATGCCAAATAATATTTCCTTTTATGGGTAGACTAGTAAATGACATTTGGGTTGTTTTCATTTTTCTGGCTTTATTAATAAGGTTGTTATAAGATTTATGTACTAGTTTTTGTGCAGACATACATCATCATTTTTCTTGGGAAGGTAATTGCTGAGTTATGGGAGCTCTGTGTTTAACATTTTCTGTCAGACTTTTTTAATCTGCACCATTTAACATTCCCATTCACAGTGTGTCAGGGTCCCAGTTTCTCCACATCCTGGCCAACACTTGTTATTACCTGTCTTTTTTATTGTAGCCACTCCTGTGGGTGTGAAGTGTCCTTGCAGCTTTGACTGCATTTCCCTGATGGCTACTGATGTTGAGTGTCTTCTCATGTTCTTATTGGTCTTTCCTTGGTTTTTGAAGCTTTTTATCATAGTCTTATGTATTCCTTTAACTCCCTGTTATCTTACCTCTCCACCTCATTTTAAACTTGGCAGCTCCAGTGAGCTTTTTCATCTCTCTGAATATACAATTGTTTTCCCTCAAGTCCCACTGCCTTCCTACTTTTTCTCTTTTTTACTTGGCCAGGGCTAACTTTGTGGGTTGCAACCTAAGCACAGGCCCCCACACAAAAAGGAGTCCAAGTCTGAATTAATGTGTTGCTGTCTTCATCTTGAAATGTGTAATATTTTAAAACAGAAAACCCCACATTTTATTTTACAATATGTTCTGAAAATCATATAGCCAGTCCCTTGCCTGGCTAATCATTATTGCCTATCCTTCAGTTAAGACAGAAATACCTGTAAGAAACTCTTCCTCACTTCTGTAGACTGAACTAGGTTTTCTTTCTGTATTTCATCTATACCAGCATGTATTGTAATTTGTCATTTTTTTCCACTAAACCCTATGACTTGAGAGACCAAAGGCTTTGACTTTCTTATTCATTTCTCTATTTTTAATAGATAAAAATAGACATGATAATTTATTAAATTCTATTAAAGCATCAAATATAGTGCTTAAAACATTTTATTAGCATTTTTGGTGTTTGAAAACTTCATTTTAAATGGGATGTTTTAAAAACAAACATTATGAAAACTACTAGCAAAATAAATGCATTGAGTAAGTAAAAGTGCCCACTTTGGGATTTGATTGCATGCATTTCTTTATCCCCAGAACCCATCATATGTGTCATATAGCTATGGGACATATGCAGTTGGTTGTTCAGCCTTAGAGCTGTGAGTCAGATGGTGAGCTGTATATCAAAAGTAATCCAGAACATGAACTCCAGGACCAGACAACATGACATCCAGCTGCTATCACTTGTAAGCTACAGGACCTGGCCAAGTTAATATTTCCATGCCCAAATCTCATTGTCTTAAAATGGAGATGATTTTAGTCCCAAGCTTGTAGTAGTATCATTGCAATTAAGCAAACTAGTAAACATAAAGAATTTAGAATATGGTCTAACAAGTATAATTCATCATATGTGTTACTTGTTACAATTATTATACGCGATTTCTATATATTGAATAAAGTATTAACTGTTTATGCAAAGAAAATAAAATGGCACTAGAAACTACTAAGAAATTACTTAGGATGTTTTATTATACATATTTCTCATTATGGTCCCATTTACACTGAACGGGTAATTGTATAAGAGATCAATTCAAGAAATAAAAATATAAAGAAAATTAGAAATTTGCGAGTAAACACTGAGAAAAGATAATTCATGCTCATAGTAAATACAAGAATCTTATAAAGAGGGAAATAATCTTTTTGTTAAAAATTGTGATATGACTGTAGAAATTTTTCAACTTAATACGACAATAAAACAACTTTGAGAAGTTAGTTTGGATAAACTCATGGTAATAACATTTGAAGAATGTTAGTTTTCTTGCTTACATATTTAGCAGTTATGCCATTGTCCTTACCTCCAAGTATTTGAAATTGATTCTACTTGACATTGAATAGAGAAATAATGCCATTAGAAATGAGGCAAATGGAAAATACAATGCAAGTGTGCAAAACTGTTTGCACACTTTTTGTGCTTTTGCATTTGTCTTGGGTTCTTGTGGTCCCTACTTACCTGTCTAATGTCAGGAAAGCCACATGTTCTTACCTTCTGTGCCTCTGCTTGCTTCTTGCACTTCTTTCATATGTCCTCTTGGGGCATCTGCCTGGAATTCTCTCCTTAACAAAATACCTCTTTTACCATTTTCAGATCTTGATCCACTTTGGTTTTTCAGGGAACACACCTCTGACTCTACCCCATCCCTCTGTTTACTCATCCTCAAAATGAATGTGGTCTTTTTACATGATGCTTTTTACATTTATTTGTATTTAATTGTAAAATTAACGTCTGTCTTCTCTGTTAAACTTGAATGCCTCTAAGGGGAGAAATTATCCCATTTCACTCAGCACTGTATCCCCAGTGCCTGACTGCTTATTGTAGAATAAATGTACAAATACATACATACACACACACACACACACACACACACACACACACACACACACACACACACAAACATACACCCCAATGCAAAACAATTGTAGAGTAGCTAAGTGACATGATCCATACTTCTCTCAAAAGACTAAAAGGGTTAATAACCCTCAAAATGTCAATAGGCCATTTCAAATCTGCCATGTACATTTGGTTTCTAAATTTGGCAATAAATGTCTAGTCAGGTAAGGTCATAAAAATAACCTGTATACATGACACTATAATAATTTCAATTGTCTGACTATTAAAATTATTAACAAAAACTTATTTGTAACTAAAGACAAGAAGATGGTTATCACAAGGTTATTGATTAATAGATTTTTGAAAAGCCAGTAAATTCTAAAAATAACCATATTATAAAAATATTGAAATACCATTTAAATAAACAGTTCTCACAGTGACCTTCCAGAAAGGCAAAGAATATAAGATCAATTTTCAGAGAGTGCATTTCTGAAAGGGGTTGGAATAATAATGTATAGTCAGACACTTTGCTTTCTAATCATCTTACTTAATTCAATGATAGAATCTGGAAATACTAGATAGACAGCTAAAATGACCATTAACCTGTCACAGTCAAATATCAGATGTCTTAACCGAATCTTCAGTAGGTGTTGAATCAAAGCCAAGATATAAATGAATTTTCTTTTAGGTATGTGTAATGCCTTCTTGTAGCACAAAGAGACACATGTCCTTTAGAATGTCAGATATGAGAAAAAATAACTTTGGTCTTCTAGTGCAAATATTTGAGTCAAATGCACATCATCATCATTAAAGAGCCAGTGTTAGGTCTGAAAATGACTTATACTTTCCCAAAGAATTGCACACTTTCCCAAAGTTACTATTTTTCCAAGATTTCTGTTAATAATTTCAGATGCATTGATGATAACTTGTAAATACCAGTGTTTTTATTAGTAACATGTTGATATTTATACATACTGATACTTTTACACAAATACAAACCATATCATATAGAACAGGTAGTAAGAAGAGAACATGTTTATGTTTAAGGAAAAAATATAACTTAAAATTTGCTTTTCAATCCTGTGAAAGAATAATACTTTCCTTAAAAAAATGAAGAATTTGTTTTATGTTATTAATAATGTATCAATTTCCTACATTCTGATAAAGATAATTAAGTGCAGATTTGAAGTCCATAGTAAACAATAGCCAAAAAATTACCATATCTTTACTCAGTTACATTTATAAAAATATTAGAATATAATATTTCTGTCCAGGTGACTTTTATATGAAGTATCATAAAAATTTTCTCACATTTGTACACCTCTAATATCACCCAACAAGATGAAATCTGATATTTCAATAAGACTTTTAGTAAAAAAAAAAATGTGTCCCAAGAAAAGTATGTAGTCCAAAGATGTTATAGTTATTACCTAGACAATCAGAGACTATTTTGAACATAAATGCTGATAAATTTAAAAATAGACAGTTGAATCTTGCCCTATATATACAGAAGAGAAAAAAGATTTGAGACAGGTTTGTGAAGGGTACTTATGGACAGGAAAAGAGCTTCAGGGTAGTACAAGTAACTCAAAATAATTGGAATTGACGGCATCCAAATTGTAAAGTGTGCTTGGAGAGAAAGGTAGTACCAGATGAGAAGTCCTTAAATGTCAGGCTGAGTGACTGGGGTTTTATTTGGAGGGCAATGCAATGTTATTTATGATTATAGAGCCAGAGGATGTGAAATCTTCATAAAATTGTTATGAGAATTTTAAAAGTTTGCTTTTTTAAAAACTATGTATTTTTAGACATACAAGATATACTCTCTCCAGCTAGAATATTTATTTGCCAGATTAAAGTAGAAACTAATCTTGTATGTTTGGTCATGATATGCACAGACAAGCATAAAATCTTTCTTTTTCCTTAATCGATATAAACAGAGCCCAGACGGCCGTATTGAAGTTAAAGGGCAGCATGGAAGCTCATCACTGCATATTAAAGATGTGAAGTTGTCAGATTCAGGGAGATATGACTGTGAAGCTGCAAGTAGAATTGGAGGGCACCAAAAGAGCATGTACCTTGATATTGAATGTAAGTTATCTTCTTTTTCATGTTTCCTAAATAATTGTGTCTGCTTTGAAAAATGTGAATTTTAAAGGAAAATCAAAATGCCTGTGTACTTCATGTTTCAGTATTTAATGTATAGCGTCAGAGGGATTGTAGCAACTGAAAATCAGTTATTGGAGACATCTAGTGGATGTTATGGGGCATTTCACAGTGCTGTGTATTTCGTAATCTTGATACTGTTTGTCCTGAAAAGAGTGACTTTTGGGGGTATGTGCAACATTTAACGCAACGCACAGTATCAACTGAAGTATATTAGTTATCAGTAATTGGTCAACATCTCCTTAGATTTTTATCTGTTTCTTTGTAGTATTTATGCTTCTGTGTCTCAGATATGCAGTGAGTGTTTTCATTTCCTCTTCAGGTTCTGTTAAACTATTTCACATGTTCACAAGATATGAAACAGTATTTTAAATGAAGTGAAATTTATAAGTGCCTATATCTTATCAGAATAGTGTTTATCATCTGTCTCGAAGAGAGGACTATGACAAGGACAGTTTTTAGAATAAGCAAAAACATTTTCATAACTGAGATTTGGAAAGTGGGAGGACTAGTGTAAATCAGGGCTTCACAAATCACCTTAAGTCACTGAATGGAATTTTAAAATAATTTGGTATACGCGTTATTTAAAAAGGAATAAGTTTAATATTATTTTCAATAAATATTTATGAATCATCAATGTTGGAGGCTCTCTAATGCTTGAAAGGACAGAACTGTTCTTAGTGGAATGTATGACTCTTATTAACAAAACATTTCTATTGGAGCATTTCTAGTACATTAATATTGATAGAATGTAACAGTAAGTGTGAAACAAGATGCATTGTTTTTATTATTGTAAATGCCTTTACAAAGAAAATATATTCTCAAAAATAATAAATAATCCATATTATTGTGCATGTTTATGGAATGTACTTATCAAGAGATTCATGGAAAGACCAGTTAAAAATTCTTTTTAAAAAGGATTATGAAAGATAATCAACAATAAGAATTGAAGAAATAAACTCAGTAATTTGTGATGAATTCTGCTAACGTTAGGCAACTTCCAAGAGAGTCATTTGATTTCCATCACATGTTCTAAAAAAAAAGCAAACAAAAAGGTGCTGATATTATTGAGAAAACGCAAGGGAGGAAGTGATGCCTATAACTTATCTTGCCATTTTTTTCTTCATGCTTTTTATATTGTTATAAGTATATTTCTTTTTCAGGTCAACAACATTATTAGCAAATAATAAACACTTCTTAAAATTTCAACATATTTGATTATATTTTGTAATTTTAAATTTGTATACTTAAACCAAAATTTACTTTAGGATTTTTATTTTCTTTAATATGAATCTAAATGAGCAAAATCTTAAGAGTGTAAAGATATGATCTGTATTGGAACTTCCCAAACATTTTGTAGGAAAAATCCCTAGAATACTCCTGGCCTCTTCCAACTGTCCTAAAAAAAAAAAAAAAAAAATTGCTAGGCAACATATTTTCTTAATGGAGCAATACTTAAGGCTTTTTATCTTTGTATTTTGTAAATATTTAAAAACATATTTGGTATATAATAGCATTATTAAAATATTTTTGTCCTTCTTTATGACTGCATAATATCTCAGAAACAAAGAACAGAGTAACATATGTTCTTACTCATAAGCGGAACTTGAACAATTATAATACTGTAAGAAAGGGATTGGCAGTAGTGGGAAACTGTCAGAGGAGGTGGGGTGGGATTGGCAGTTGAGGGAAACTGTTAGGGGAGGGAGGGGCATTACTTATTAACAAGGGTACCTACATAATCAACGTTTGTATACCTAACCCTGAATTGTACCCCACATCTTTATAATAAAAAAATTGAAAAAAAAGAGAAATATTTGTTGCAAGTATTCAGAAAAGTGGAGGTTATGAAGGATGAGCATTGTTGATATTTCCCAAAAATAGTAAGGCAGAGTGGCTCATACAAATACTTAATAGCATGACCTGCATTCCTAGGACCACAGTTTTCCTATGTTATAAAACAAGAAGATGGATGGAGGAGATTCTTGAGGCCTCTTCATACTCAAACATTTAAAAATATTTGTACTCAAGTATGTAAGAAGGAGGACCCCCCCAAACCCGGAATTTATTTATAAAAAAGTGTGCATTTATTCTTACATGCTTAAATTTCAGTCACTTTCAAAGCACTCTCCGTTTGATGCAATACACCTATCGAGATGTTTTTCCTACTGCTCAAAACAATTTTTGATCTCATTAATTTCGATGCCTTTTAGTACTTCTGCTATTTTTTTTTTTTTTGAGGACTTTTTTTCATCCAGAGAAACAAGAAAAAAGTCACTCCAGCGCAAGATCAGGTGAATAGGAAGGGTGGGGCATGGAGTCACGTGGTTTTTGATAAAAAACTGTTGAACACTCAGCGAGGTGTGGGCAGATGTGCTTGTAAATCACTCACCAGAATAGGGACCAAAGCATTGAAAGACTCTCCAAAAAAAAAAAAAAATTCACTGAAGCTGAGTACAGCCTCTCACAACACTGGTTGGTACACTGATGCTCATGGGTTTCTGGAACATTTAACTAGCAGGGGAAGCGTGTACTACAAGAGGCCTACACTCAAAAAAAAAAATTCCAGTTTTATTTGGGTCCACTCATACACGTTTGTCCAAGATGCTCGGCATCCTGTGTATTTTTCTCCATGCATGACAGGATAGATATTAATATAAAATAAATAAAAACCTGATATGTAATTTCTATTATTTATATTGTAAAACTACATTGAAAAAAATTTTAACTACTAGGTCTACCTTAAGATTTAGGTTTTTTGCTACATGAACATAAATAAAGCATAGCTCCTTCTTTATGAAGACACTAAGATCAACAGAAATTTAATTCAAATTTCAAAGTGATAGATGGAGAAAATATCAATATAATGTGAAGTGCTGATATACAACGTGAGATTTTTAGTTATCATTGGGTTCAGCTAGGTAGAAAATGATAAAATAGACAAACAATTGTATATTGTAGTATGAATTATTTACTCTTGTGTTCTTCTAATAACATGAATACTTTAATACAAAAAGTATTTTGGATACTCTATTTTTCAAGTACAGATTTCTAACAAAGTACACGGATACATTCTTTCTTTGCAAATTTAAATATAGCTTATATTTCTGCTTAGTCTGAGACAAACGGTTAGACTAAAGCTCACTAGAAAATGATGTAGTTTCTCCTATTTAAACAGGACAAAAGATCTTGTTTTGTAAAATAATATTTTGAGAATTCTTTCAACATTCTGAGAGATTATTGTTTGTTGCAACGGTGTTGGTTAGATTCTGACTAGGTAAACATATTTTCATAACAGTACATTTATTTTTCCTGGTATTTGACCATTATTTTAGAATAACGACATTCTCTTTAACTAGACATTGATAATTTTCCACATATATTGCTGAACATGAATTTGATGACTTTTAAAACACTTGATTATTTTTCCTTTTTTTCAAAATAAAATATTTAAATTTATTCTACTTAAGTGGAAATGCTTAGAAAAATATCCTCTGTTTTAAGATGTCATTGAAGTATAATGAAGTAAAATTAAAAACTCATATATAAAGTGTAAACTGTGATAAGTTTTGACATATTTATAAACCCACAAATCTGTCATAATCATCAAGATAAACATTTCCATCACCCCAAGACTTTTCTCAGGTCATCTTGTAATCTATTCCTTCTATTATATTTATTAATTTGTATATTTATATTATTAATGTTGGTAGAATAATTTTTAGCATTGTAGGAGGTTTAGGTTTTGTACATAATCTAGGCCATATGTGTTTGATACCATTACTAGTAAGGCTAATCACTACAGCGGCCTCGCAGACTGCGAACACTAGAAGTATAATTGGGACTGAGTTGGCTAAGGTGAAGTGAAGATTTAGGATTGTTAGTGAAGTTATAATAAATATTGAGAGTATTATACCTTCTAGACATAGTAGGGAAGATATAAGATGTGAACGATATATTAATATACCTAGGAGGGATGTTAGGAAAGCAAGGAGAAGGTTGATGTATATATATGGCATTCTGGTAATTATGTATTATTCATAGTCTAATGAGTCGAAATTATTTGTTTTTAATTAAACTAATTACCATATTCGGTTCATTCAAGTTCTTTTTGGGTTCATTCGTATGCGAGTCCTAGGGCTAAGATAGAAATTAGAGCTAGGGCTAATCTATTCCTTCTATTATATTTATACCTAGACATCCATTTATCTACTTTTGATTACTATAATTTCATTTATATTTCTAAGAATTTCATATACATGGAATTATGCAGCAATATTTTTATTTTATTGTATTATTTTAAAAATGTATTTACCTTTATTGAGCTATAGTTTACAAATAGAAATTGCATATAGTTATAGTGTACAAATGTGATGCTTTAAAAATTTATTAATAATATTTTGGGTGATGGTTATACTAAGTGTACAAACCCCTTTGCCACTTTATAATGCAGCCATATAACCAAAAACTATTTGTACCCCCTAAAGTTATTGAAATAAAAAGCAAAAGGCAAAAATCAAAATAAATAAATAAAATAAAAACCATCTCTCTTACAAAAATAATTATCATAATAGTTTTATTGACAAATCATAACAATATATATTTATTTGATACAATGTGATGTTTTGATTTATGTGTACAATGCTTAATGATTAAAGCAAACTAATTACTGTATCTATTATCTAGATTATCTATTAAACTTTATGATGAGACATTTGAAATTTACTCTCAGTTATTTTCAAATATACATTATTGACAATAGTCACCCAGTGCAATGGATCTCAAACCCTATTTCTTCTGTCTATACAAACTGTGTACCTTTTTATCAACAATTCCCCTTTCCCTATCAACAGCCTCAGCTAATTCCCATTTTACTCTCTGCCTCTGAGTTCAACTTTATTTGATCTCACTATAAGTGATATCAT